GGGACAGATGTACACAGGCTAGAAATTTGACTCTACACCAGTTAAAATGGCCATCCTGTTAATATGGACGGCCTCATTTTCATGGCTCTTTGGTGACTGTACAAATGGGTTCCACTGTATTTTCTTGAGAATTTGAACTACATATACCAACAAATTATTTCAATCTGGAGCTGCAAATTACTTAATAATCTATCCATTGGTCATGTTCAGAGTACTTCTTAGAGAAGTGTGTTCTAATTTTCCAAAGCCATCATTCTTGAGGTTATATTATTTTAGTGATAGCAAATTGTCATCCAAAATTAAAAACTTAAGTTGCTCTCGCAGATACACCGGTGACCCTTGACCTAAAGCAACTGTAAAAATATACCATTAAACCTCCAGGAAAAAAGGTAAATCTGACTAAAAAAATTCAATTAAGTCAAACACAAAATAAGTTAATTAACACAATCCCTTCATCACAGCAACTCTAACTTGGAAATTACAAAGCATACAGTAGTTACTTCAAACTTAATTACTATACATCAAATCTGTGAGTAAATCAGATAAAACTAATAATTAATAAAAGTTTTTCCTGATGTACATTTAACTTTTCCTTTGATGTTCTCTGCTGAAATTACATAATATTGAAACTGGAAAACTTTGTGACTGCATGTATAACCTGTGAACAAAATTTCAATGTCTGTGTTGCTTGATATTAGCATCAGGCAAGTGTATAGTCCATAAAGTTTCAATCATGCTGAATTCCCTATGATTATCAATTGAGTAAGGCGCGATGAAAGTTTAGTCACCAGGGTTTTACGTGAACACTGTGTTGTTGTCACGGGCAACTGGCTCCGTTTCCAGTGGCAACTTGTTGGCCTTTGACATCACTGGCAACAAAGTGCGCATAATTGTAGGCAACATGACAGATGATGCACAACTGTTGATATTGTTACCAATAGAAACGAGGTAAGTTGCCGTGACAACATCGCAATTTTAAGGCCACCAAACTTCCACTGTGCCTTACTCAACTGAAAATTGTAGTAGAATGGCTACCTTTTGATCTGAGAAGAGCATGTCATTCACCAAGTCCTGTGTGGACCAATCTTTCTTACTTTGTCACTTTTCCAGTCGGACAACCTTTTAGACCTGCCGCAGAATACTTCTTGATTTTCAGTTCAGCTCTACTTGAATTTACACAAGCTGTATAATAATCAACAATCAGTGACAGAACAGATGACAATGTTATTCTGTTAGACCTTTAGCCTTTAGTTGAAATAAACTGTAAAATAACAATACATGAGCCACCACTTTTAATATTAAGTTACTGTATAGTGAGTTGAAGTGTAATGACAGTTTCTTAATAATTTAAAATAACGAAAACATATTACGCCAATGAAAATTTTTTTGGCTACTTGAAATAAATACAGGACTGTTACTTTGAGACGTACTGTCTAACGATTATGACATACACTTCATGAAAAATTACTTATTGATAGGTCACTTTGTTCTCATGTGATAACCAGACTGGACACTTATTTTGTATACTTGCTTATTAGTTATCTTACTTATAGCTGGCTCAATTCAATCAGTGGTGTTGAAACAGGGTTGATGCCTGAATTTGTACAACTTAAGGTAGCCAACTTGGACCCCCTGTGGACAGGTATGCACAACCACCCCCTACCCCCCTGAGGAATAACCAGAGATCGACATTTTAGCTGGCACAGGAGGTTCAACTACATGAAGATATAAATTTTGATAAGGCTTAGATCAAGCGAGCATCTACATTTTGATGCGATTCTAATGAGATTAAGCGTAAATTCTGGGAGAAACGTATACTTGGAAAAAATCCGAGACCCAGATGGGATCCCATCTGGGACCTGGATTTTTTCCGAGTACACGTTTCTCCCAGCATTTACACTTAATATCATGTTGTTGTTGTTTCTCCATTAGGATTCTAATGAGCTCAAAATATTACAGCATAACAGTTTTTTTTTTTATCAAAGATTGAATGAAATCATTGACAATACATGTACAATCATTTATTAGCACTTCCAACATGGAGCAAGGCAGGGTTAAATATCAAGTGGTTATCCTAAAACTACAGGTTGAAAAAATTCACAACTTTATGTATTAACTATACACACTATAAACTAATGATGAAACTATTTAGATAACTTCAGAAGTTAGCACAACCTACAAATAAATACAGCTTAAAAGACATTTTTCTTTTTTATATATATATAGCCTGATTATAAATCTGTTTTAATCTACACGACTTTGTGTTCTATATAAAAGCACTCATCTCCATGACAACTCTATTTCACTTCTGTTTCCCCTTTTGCCCTCTTGACGTCAGGTTGGGACAGTTCAGCTTGTGTGTCTGTTCTTCCTTTTTGTGATGGATATTCCTCTGGCTTGCCGTCAGCTCCCTTTGGCAACATTTCCATTGGTGTAGTGCCATATAGCATTCCAGGCTGAACAAAAGGAGCTGGAGGCCTACCTGGTACAAACCCAACTGCAGCAACAAGCAATCCGTTTCCTACAGAACCCTGCGGCATGACTGTTCCCTGTACAAATGTCTGTCCAGGGGGCATGGCCGTCATCAATGCTCCAGCAAGTGGTTGGTAGTAAGATGTCCCAGGTAACGGGAATCCCCCTGGTACTGCTGCAGTGGATTGCAGCGGATCTGAAGGTTCACCATCTGATGTGTTTCCTACTCCTTGTACAGGCTGTGTTGGTGGCACAGACCTATCAGTAGTGCTCTGAACACTAGCTTTTTCCCGATCAATATTTTGCATTGGAGGAAATGTTCCTGAATAGACAGCGGGAATGCCTAGAGGCATTGAGGATGTAACAACAACACCCGGCATATTTCCAGGTAAGGCTGTCATTCCAGCCATAGTTTGTGCACATGACACTGAGACAGAGGTTGCACTTTGACTTGTACCGTTGCTTACAGCAGGAGCTTTTGTTGCATTTGACAAGACACCTGGAGCAGACTGTGTTAGAGTAGAATTCCCTCCACTTACTTGTGTTGCTGGTCCACTTGAGAGTGCAACACCAGCTGGAATAATAGGATTGGACGGAGAGAGGAAAATGCACACATCACCAACTTTTAAGTGCTGACAATTAAGGTTGTATTTGGTTAGTGACTGCTCTGGCCTGCTCGAGGTCCAACCTTGGCCATACACAAAGAAAGGATGCTCAACTGGGCAGTTTAGAATCACCTGTAGGAATATGAGAGAGACAGTGAAGATCATTATTTAATACTTGATTCCACAGCATGATTCATTCAATAGGAAGATAGCTTATTGCAGGACTGAACCACCTTTAACCAGACATGAATCTCATAATCAAAATCTGTGTGCCTGAAGCATTAGTTTGTCATGAAAATGCATGCAAACTTAGGGATGGCAAATGATACCAACCCTAGAAATGTATTACTAGTGCTGGATCATGTGTACTAAAGGCATCCGCAGTCAAGGGTTGATCAATACTGTCTATCGACCCTTGATCGATATCTCAGTCAACACTCGATCAACATCTCAATCGACAGCGGGTTGATAGTTGGCCAAGTGTCGACTGACTCATATGTAAAGTCTATAGATTGACACTCGATGGCATGTCTGCGAAAATTAGTCGACTCTGAACTGACTTCAACTGAGATCTCAATCGAGTGTTGACCGGGTATTGATCCAGATGTCAATTGAGTGTCGATCGAGATGTCGACTGAGTGTTGATCGAGGGCCAATTAAGAGTATCAATCGACACTCGACTGGTGATACCTTTTAATAGTACACATGAGCCCAAGTGCCTGCTATTGCAGTATCTACATTATATTATTCAACTAACCTGTGTTTTAGAACTGTTGATCGTGAAAGTAACATGTGTACTTCCAGAATCTGAACCATCTTCTATTTTGACAACCGTGCTTGTCTCCAACTTAAGATCAGGACAGAGTCTTGTGCTGTGAATAAAATCATCTGTAATAAGATCTTCAACTCTTTTCAAATCTCCAGTAGCCAGCTGAATGATGGATCCTTTGATAAATGGTGGAGGTATCTGAGGGGGGGCTGGTTGAAACTGTCCCTGCATGTGCATCAGGGGACCTGACGGGTATGCTCCGAACATCGAAGAAGGCATTCCCTGACTAGGAAGTATGAATCTACTTTGGTTTCCAAGTACATGAGGTTGTAAAGGTTGTGCAGCAGGTAACTGTGTATTGTTTGATGGTACTTGATTCATGGCAGACTTGTTAGTGGCTAATTCTGCCAGCTGAGAAAGGTTGCTTGTGGCCAGGAATCCAGCAGAGTAGTGAAAGCCATTTGAAGCTGGAGCTGGAGCCTTATCGGCAGGCTTTGCCTGTGATGTGAATGATAATGTTGAAGTGCTGGTCTTTGATTCAGAACTGCTTGTTATGTTGTCTGGTTCAGCTTCAGCCCCTGATGCTTCCAATGCTGAAAGAACATAATTTTAAATAAATGAAGGAGATAAAATTGATAACCAACAATGCCCTGTTTGCAACATTTTGCTCCAGATCTGTAACTTTTCCATTTTTCAACCTCACATTTCTCCTTTTCTTGTATGGTTTAACCTTCTAAGGGATGCAGTCATGTATACAAGTGACGGGGAAAGTCCAAATGAGGGTCCTAAATTGTTAGACCCCAAAAGATTAGAGTCTTTTTCAGCTAAGACCAGACCCAGGAAAAGTCTAACAGCCCCTAAAAGAGAACCGGGTTGTACTTTTTGTCAACTTCAGAAGAAGGACTTGCCAAGATCTTTTAAGTCCAAAAGAGGTGCCACAAAACTAACTAATAACTAAAACTCTCATGCTTTTCTTTGTCCCATGTTCATGACGACTCACCTTATATCACTTTCAACAATCATGTAACCAGTTTTCATTTTCTCACATTTTAAATAACAAATAACTCTAAGGTAGTACACATTTTTTGTCATATAGAGTGGTTTTCATTGAGGTTTGTAAAACCAAAACCAAAGTTATCATTCTGGTCAATCACAAAGCAAAGGACACTGACAATCCAGCAGTATATAAAAACAGTAAAACTCGAAGCAAATTCATGTAGTTGACAGGAAGCACACCAAAAATGTGTGCAAATAAGTGATGATTTATAGGCTTTTGGTTTTACTTTTGATCGGATGAAAAAGTGCTACTACAAGTTTTTTTCTATTTTAAGCCAATCATGCAGTGCATTAATGTAAACCAAAGCAAACTCAAATTACTTTCAATAGTCAACAAAACACTGCTCTATGAAGACATTTTAATGCCTCGCATATAATACAAAATCAAACATGTACACACCTGTTCCTTCCTTCACTGGACCTTGGACCAGAATTTTTCCATGTGTAGATGTAGGCTGGGAATCTGTTTGACTGTCATCTGAGCGACCTGATGATGCCATTGACTCGGAACACTGCAGAGGATTTTCTGTAATGAATTCAAGCAAACGTCAACTCGACATTTAAAACATACCACTATTTTAAATTTTAAAACTGGTGACATGGTTCATCTCTACTGGGTGACAGAACCTCCCTTGGTTTTATTCAACTTTTGATATTTGCCCTAAAGTAGCAAAGTTCTGTTCCTATGGTTGGAGAGAGAACCTTAAAATTGCTCAATAAAAAATGGAATTCTGGAAATCACAGAGAAGTTGGCGTGCTGGAAGGAAATTCCTTCCCCTCTAACTGTAAAATTTTGCAAATTAGCTTTGCACTTTTGCAAGATGTGAATCACAAACACAGCCATTTTACTATTTGGAGGTCCTTTTTTCAGCAGTACAAATGGACTCTCGCCAGATGGCTAATGACAAACAGATGGACAAAAACATTAGAAGGGCCATTTATCACACAATAATTAGAGGGACACATTGGAGGGAGGGGGGGGGGGGGTTAAAGGAGCTGCATCACGGTTTACGCGTCTTGAAAAGTTAAGCCTAGGTTTTTCAAGTTCGTCGTTTGTAATCTGTGTTAATCTTCTCCATCCTTCACCATCCTTGTTTCTTTCTGGTTTATTATTACCTCTTTCGTGTTTTTCTATCTTAGCGAAACATTTCCACTTCTGTTGAAATTCCATTTCACCATTCAACATGGCAGCAATATATTTTTCTATCTCAATTTTATCCTGCACTAATGAGATGAAGTCGCTGAAAACGAACCTAGTATTATTTAGAGCGTTGATTTAAAGAAAGTATTTGCCTAGCATTATGAGGTGGTTNATTGATATAAAGAAAGTATTGCCTAGCATTACTATTTTCAGGTTTCCTTCGATTTAAAGGCCACTTTGAACTTGATGAAAATAACTCAAAATATTGTTACTGGGTTCGTTCAAGAATGTCAGTCTAGTGGAGAAAAGCATGCAGGAATCTTACAGTTTTCATGATATGGACCAATAAAAATCAGTGAACACTTCAATCAGCTGACCATTAAGCTCCACCAAAAGAATATATTGAGTTGTGTATGTTGCGTGACTGTAAAGGCATTGGATGTCATGAGTTACATTTGTCCCTCAGCACACTCGGGACAAATTATAATCAAATTCTTACTTGATTACTTTGGACATCACAAAAATCTCAGCCAATGGCATTAATGTTTATTTAATACTTGACTAAAAATATTACTTTTAAAAAAAAAAAAAATGGTCCTCAAAGTTTTGACTGCTCTAAAGGTTCTTCTCTTTTTCCTCCCCAAATACCTAGTTAACAGCTTGGAAGTTCTTCCTTCTTCCCGTATTTTCATTTCAATATTTGTTTCCTATGAAACTTGCGAAGGCGACGTATAAATTAGAATAGCTTCAAATAAGCTTCAATATGCATAAAATTCTACTGATCTGTGCTGTTGTACTAATCGATTTCACATGCACTTATAACAAGCATCTGCACCAAAAAACAGCGAAACGACGCAGAGACTAACAATTATCAGCGACTGCCTACCAGAGATGTATCATTTCAAAAAGGAAAGTGTCCGAGAAATTCCTTGATTTCGTTGGCGTGGGGTAAATGTGGTGTCAACACGAAGCCACCATATGCAAATGAGATCCCTGCTTGTGTGTCATGCGATCTTCGACAGTGACTGTCATGAACTGACATACTAAAACATCACGATATATAACCTGAAACCTTCATAAAAAAGCTTAGTACACGGGCAAAGACCTTTGCTAGCGTAACAACGCGTTTTTGGGATGCCACATCAATTGAGTGACTCGTAACAGCTTGAAATTTCCTCTTCTCACGGAGAGAAGACGTGACAGAACGTGTTGTGTATTAAAAACTTAGCTTTCCTCGTGCCTCGGCAAAATAAGGCCTGAACACTACCGATATTAAATAAGAATATACCTTATGCCCGGCTTATTTCAGGACAATTTTCATCACATTAGACGCATGCAAACTCAAAGACAAGTAATACTGCCTTACACGTTGAGAGTTTGGCGAACAAATAATCTTTTGTACGAAACACGGCGTTAATTATGCAGTAACAGAATCGAAAAGCAGATGAATTCAAAAC